ATTAAATTATAACAAAATTTATAAAATAAAACTAAAAAATAAAATAAAAATAAAATAGTTTTATATTTATTTATAATATTCAAATATTATTTATTTATTTATTAATATAAAATTTTATTTTTTAGTTATATATTTAGTTTCAATTTTCTAACTCTCTAATTATTAATTGAATTAAAATTTTTAATTATCTAACTAAAATTTAAAAAAGTAACAACTATTTACGTCTAACTATTTAATTAAATTTTTTTTTTTAATTTTCAATTACCCATTTAATTAACTAACTATTTGTCCAGCCTTAATTATTTCATTGCAAGTCTGGCAACTTGTAGCCTCTATGAACCACGCTCCTATATTTCTCTTGAAAGAATTAAGAATATGCCGTTAAATGAGGTTTGATTGCTTGTCAAAGACGAAAAATATGGATATAATTATCGACTATCTTACTACTGATTTTGACACTTTAGACGTCAATTCGCATTCATGGAATCATGGAAACTAAAATCTATAGTCAAGCCTGGTGAGCAATGCATCGTCTGCTGGTGCATCCCATGTAATTTATTTATATATTATTTATTTATTTATTTATTTTAATTACATAATAAAAAATAATTATTTTTTATTTTTTATTTTTTATTAATCTCATTCACATGTCATATAATTCAAACTTAAAATCTCTTTTTTTTATATGTCAATTCCCATTCATGGAATCATGGAAACTAAAATCCATAGTCAAGCCCGGTGAGCAAGGCATTATCTGCTGGTGCATTCCATGTAATTTATTGAAAAAAAAGAAGTCTGGAATTGTAGACAATACAATAAATTGACAGTATCACGTTAACTTTTAAGAGTTATAACCCTTTTAAAACAAAAAAATAGTTATTTTCCATATTAATTGCTGGGATGTCTGTCAAATAATCAGTACCTGGCCCTGGACATTCGTTTCTGACCTAAAAATCCTATTTAACTAAAAGCTCTGTTCAATTCAATTTTTAAGGTTCACATGCTTAGGGCATACATAAAATCAATGACTTTCCCTCGTTTTCTCTTGAGTTTCTTCCTTTATGGTTGTGTCTAGGCTCTGTTTTTTTTTTTTTTTTAATGTACTCTAGGCTCTATCATTTAAGAGTTTACTATTTTATAATATAGATTATATTAAATTATAAAATATTAATTATAAATTAAAAAGTAAAATTTTTTATTTGTATTATATATATTATTTTTTTAATCTATCTTTAAAAGTTTTTATTTTTAATCAATAGTTTTCATAATTTAAAATTCATATAAAACTTATCAAATCTCTTGTTTGCATTTTGATTTTGATAATAATTTGAGGTTTTTTTTATTAATTTCAAATTATGAAGGTTAAGTGACAGTAAAAATTATAAAATGTGTTAACCATAAAAAAAATAATAATGTGCAAAAAACAAATAGGAGGTTTGATCAAAGAAAAACACTCTTCTAGTGTCAAGGGCTGTTCTTAATAAAATTATTAGTGTTTTGTAATCCGAATTATGAAATTTTTTTTTATCATTTAATTACTCCAATTTTTACTCTATTTGTTAGTTAGCATTTGCAATTTTTTAAACAAATAAATCTTTACACACTTCAAGTTTTAGATTAGTATCTCGCAAATGATCTTAATGACATATTCCACATCAATTTGACATATTTAAGGAAATTAAATTTTTTAAATGTTAACCCTAAAACTTAAATCATAAATTTATTTTACAATATGATATTTACTTACTAGTATTTATCTACATACCAAGAAAAAACGTTGAGTACTTATCTTCTGCCTTTGCAATTTGGCATGACCACATAAATGAGCCGTATTAAGTAGAAAACTTTCAACCATCTAGATGAAATCCTAAAATGGCTGGCTTTTTTAAAGGGATGAATGATTGAGAATTTCTTTAACGAACACCCTACTTAACATATTATGTTAGTATTAAAATCACTTAATTATAAGTAATGAAATTTTTTAAAAAAAAAAAAATCAGAGATATCTTGTGATTCGTTAGCAAGTTGGTAAAGAAATCATTCCAACGATATATAATGAGAATGCAGATTTAAATCTTTTCAATTTCAATTTAATGAAATTTTAATGGGTCATATTCATAGCCTCAAATATGAATTTTGATATTTGTGAATGGGACAGTTTACAGTATTTATATAATTAGTTAAACTAAAAGTCTAAAACCTTTATTATTAAAAAATTAATCAGAATTGTTATGTAGATTGTGTCTAAATATCAAAATGATCAATGAGACTTCACAACCTTTTATGAGTTCTACCCCTACAAATGGTGGGTTTTGTTTATTTTTTTATTGGTAGTGCCATACTTAATTATTGACTTGAAATATGTACTTGCTTTACCAAATATATATATATATATATATACTCCATTCATTTAATTTTAATAGAATTAATTTTTAATTAAAAGTGTTTAATTTAGTAAAAAAAAACTCTCTCCCCCTTAAGAAGTTTTTTAATTAAAGGTGTTTAATTTAGTAAAAAAAGGACTCTCTTCCCATTAAAAAGTCTTGTTTTATAAGTTTTGTTTTATAATTTAAAACAATTCATACCATAAAATAATGTATTTTTAATTTAGTTGTACATTAATAATTTTTAAGGTATTATTTAATATATTTACTTTTATTTTTAAAAAAATTACAATATATATTAAATAAAAATAGTTACTTAAATAGTGATTAAATAAGAATAAATAAAAGATTTTATTATTTAATTATTAAATCCTTGTTTTATTATTATTTAAAAAAAAAAGACCTTAAAAACATATGGAGTGTCAAAATGACAATCTAAGAATTCAAATCATCTTGATCTTGAATGCTAATTAATTACTCAGTTTTAAATAATTAGAGAATATCTTTAGGAATTATGTGGACTTTTAAATTTTATAAATTAAATGCTTTCAAATCAAATTATTTGAAGGAGTGATAAGGAGGAAGATTAGCATATACTCCCTCCATTTATTTTAATTGTCACATTTTAAGTTGATACAATAATGGAAGAACAAAGTTATACTCATAGAATAAAAACCCTTTTTTTTTTTTGAGGGAACATAGAATAAAAACCTTTAATATATATAGTTTCTTAAGGATAGGGTTTGATAATTAACTCCAATCACCTAAGTGCGAGTGCAATTACGAGGGGTAATTCTTAATATTTCCAATTAATTTTATGGCCCGGATTAAAAAATTTATCGTTAAAAATTTTCAAATCTTAACATATTCAATTTTAGTTGAATTAGTTTGACTTTTAGACATATATATTAAACATTTATTTTAGATTAAAATTTCATAGTGCATAGATGACAATGAATTTTTTTTTTTGGATAAAATGTGAAAATTATATTTATCCATGAAACTATCTGTACAAAAAGTTCAGTAGCAACTTGTTACTACTACAAAACAAAAAACTCGGCTCTATACAACGATCTCAAAAACCCCATTTTAAAGCAATTAATGCACTTAAAATAGAGGAAAAAGGCCTAGCATTTTCCAAAATTTTGTGTCTTACATCAAAACAAATCTCTTCACACACTACATCTGTTGTCTTGTAGACATGTTGGTGAATTCTTCTATTCCTTTCCATCCAAACATGGTAGACTGCAGCATTCCACATTAACTTGACGAGTGTTTGATACAAAGACTTTCTTTTTATTCGTTTCCCCATTCATAACACAAGCTGTTGCCAAGAATCCAGATAAGGAATTTCAGACATGGCACTCAAACTCTTCCACACACATTTTGCATAGCTACACTTAAAGAAGAGGTGCTCAAAAGTTTATGATCCATTGTTGCATAGAACACAAGTGTCATCTATGTTAGGGGACCATTTCTTCTGCCTTGCTTTGGTTGTTAACCTGTCCAATATGGCTAGCCAACTAATAAAGCTATGTTTTGGTATTTGCCGAGAAAACCAAACCAGCCTATGCCAAGGAACCTTGGACTGCTTACTTCTGACCCAGTGCCATGTTCTCCCTGCAGTGTATGTCCTTGAAGCTGAAGGGATCCATATAATAGTATACTTGTCCCTTTCCTTAGGATATAGTCTATCACATAAAGCAATTTAAATGTCCAGCAATTGAGGTGAGTGAGCTGGTGGCCATTTCCAAAAATTACCATTAACCACGACCTCTAGCTTGGCTTGGGAAGAAAACCCAGAATCTTGGACAATTCGTGCACCAAAATTTTCAACTAGAGACCCTGAAGCGTGCCAGTTATCATGCCACAAATAGATGTCCTTTCCATCACCTGGAAAT